CAAATAAATCAATCCATCCATCCATCATCCATCCATCCATCCATCCAGATTCTATACCACTTGTTCTTTTTGGTATTTAAAATATCTTTTCTTCTTTAATACATAGTTAACAGTGACCACACGACACACTATGTGGTCATTACAACAATTTTAAGTGTTTGATGTAAAAATGAAGTGACAGAGTGAAAATGCCACTTGACGCTCATCATTCAAATATGAAGGAGCTATTTAAAGGAACATAAGTGTTGTAACTTCCAAGTCAAAGTTTTATGTGGGCAGACAGCTCTGACCTGGCAGTTTAGTTAAAAATATAAAGATTACGCTTTCAAACAAGGCAACCATCAGACTATATATAACAATTCATTCAGTCGGAAAGTAAGTCTAACTTCCTGTTTCCTTTTATTTCTCCAAAAAAATCATAAAGTGTAATGCCAATACATCATCACATTGCCATAAGGGACCTTCTGTGGTGCTCTGATGGAATAAAAATAATTAGTCATGAATAAGTGAGTGATATTAATATATACAGATTTTAAGACCTGTACTGTATTTATAGCATAACGTTGATGTTGCTCAATGCATGACACAGATTACTGAAATTCCAGCAGAATAATAGTACGACTGATGAGGCTTGGCTGCTTCAGCAGGCATCGGCAAACATCTCAATTTTCGGCAATTCAGCCTCCAACAGAGCGGACAGGGAGTACACAAGTGGAGAAAAGAGCAGTTCAGCAAATTATAATAAATGTGGAAAAGAGTTTTTAATTCCCAGCACAAGTGGGGTGCATAATATTCTAATTAATAATTGATGATATTAACTCAGTTGGCTTGCGGTGGTGATCTGCGCAGACAGGCAGGACCGGATCCCAGACTGCTTTCTGATGTTTTATTCTGGGTAGCATGGAAAACAGGAAGCAGGATTTTGAGCGTTCATAATAAAGTGAAATTCTAACGTTGCATACATCTTTCACTTTGTCTTCGTGAGAGAAGTGAATTATGCAAATCTGTACATGAGCCATATTTCAGGAAAAGTTAGAGAAATTTATATTTTGTTGAGTGCAGAATGGCCACTGCAACAGCACTGGTGTCTTTGTACAGCCCGTGATCTTGGCCAGGATTGGATGGTAGGTTTGCTGCGTGGGTCTTCCTCCACATGCAGACATGCCACAGGCCTCTGAAACAGGAAAGAAGGACGCAGTGATATTGCACAAGGACCTTGGCTCCCATGCACAGGTGAGTTTTCCCTCTTACAAATAAATATGTACATTTAAACTGTGTAAAGACTGACAAATATTGTCAATCAAAATGTATTGCTATTAAACTCAGGCAGCCGAATTACAAAAATGTGTTCATCTGGTCTCTAAGTATCCCATGGGAATGGTTGCGCGTGAGCGTATCTGCCCTGTGAGGATGGACTGGCATCCCATCTAGGGTGTCTCCCAGCTTTGTGTCCCATGACTGCTGGGATATGCCCCAGCCCCCCCATCATGACCAGGATAAGTAGTTAGAGGATTGACAGATGGATGGGTATATTTATCCTGTTTTTCGTAAAATAAAATTTTGCAAAGCAATTCAACTAGAGTCTGTACCACATTTATTGCAGATTACAATGCCATGACAATTTTAAAAGAATTTCCTGTGAAAGAACAAAAAACAATTAAAAAAAAGAATTTTTCCCTCCTATTTTTGTCTTCTAGATAAAATCGGGATTACTGTAAGTTACTTCCAAAAAAGGGACAGACAAATATATATATATGTACACACACACACACACACACACACACACACTTATATATAAGAGCAGTAAAAATCCTATGAAATATCTGACATTATCTGAATATAATGATAAACAGTTCTTACCAGCAGTTGATCAGAACTTTGAAAACAATGAGGATTCTTCCCCTTATGCAGTTTATGTCCTTCCAGCCGCCCCAGTACTCGATATTCTCATTTTAGAGGGAAGGTCTGACCATTTCTTGGTAATGCTCTTGCTGGAATGTGGGCTTGCTGACATCATAGAACTTTTAAGGCATAATTTAGCGTTGGCTATTTAAGCATTAATAACATAATGACAATCTCAGTGTGAATGGTAACCATTGGACACCATTACCTCCATCCTGTTCCCTTATGGTCCTGCGAAGTAGTACTGATGTAATCTTGATGAATGGGAATGAGATGCGGCGGTTTGCAGACGTGAGCACCTAGCATGTTATTATTGTCTACTTTAAAGGTCTGTGTGATCTTCTGTGTTCCTCTGGGAAACACATTTGGCCAGACAGAAATGATTTAAAGTTTGCTCTGTAGTTTTCTAGGTTGATGCCAGTAAGTCTGACAGCCAGTATGTTAACTGCAGGACGGTTACCCGTAAATCCCATAGGAGGGTTTACCCAGAAATCTTCGGAGCATCATACACACTTTCTGTTAGCCTACAATGTTTGAAGTTTCCTGCATACAATCTAGATGGTGATTTTCTTCAGACTTTCTTTGCATTGCAGTGAGGCCTGATGGGAAATACTGTGGTCCCACAAACAGACAGACAGACAGACAGACACACACACACACACACACACACACACACACACACGCACGCACACACACAGACACACACAAACGCACACACACATCTTGGCCCTGTTAGCATTTTAGCATGTTTGTGTGGGTTTTCTCTGGATGCCCCACATTCCTCTCACAGTTCAGAGACACATACTGTACATTAGGTGTACTGGTGTTTTCAAAGTGCCCTAAGTGTGTAAGTGTGCCATATGATTGACTGCTATCCTGCCCAAGGTTGTACCTGTGACCACTCCATGGGTAAGTATCTATGGAGAAAGGACAGAAATAAATCAAATGAGTGTTTAAGATTGGATTTGTGTTTCAGAATGAGTCCTCAGAGTCAGGGTTTGTGAAGGAAACTATTCTGGCATATAGCCATAGACTTACCAGAAGGCGAGTCAGAGCAAAGCCACCCTCCTCACTAAAGGTAAAAACCTTTATATTTCACACAGAACAAAAATAGCCTGATTCTCTTGTGCTGTTTCATGGCAATCGAGTCAGTATGTATCACAGCGTCTCAGGTGCACGTTTCATGCTGTTCTCTCCTTCATTACGCTTCCTTTCCAAAAATTGCCTCCCTGCTACATCCAGGGTGTCAGTTATATGTCTTTCAATAGGGAACTGATGTCAGTCACATGGAAGAGATAAGGAGTGAGGGTTAGGGTTAGCTGTCTATTTACTCTATCTGCCTGGAAGCTATTATCATCTGAAACAGCTTGTAAGTTTTAGATATTGGTGGAGCGCAATCATTTTCTAAAGGAATTCAAATTAATGGGCACAACAGCAGTTAGCCCCTTGTTATTGACAGTGCCTGTGAGCTCTGCTACTCCACTAATTATGTGATTCCTCATCCGTCTGAAAGAAGGACTGCAGCAGTCTCATTACACAGCGTGATTAAACCATTGAAACACCAAATGATGCCCTTTTCACATACATAGGTGCAATTCACTTGTTCCACCAAAGATCAAACAGCAACAATGAAGTTGTCCTCATAGCCTGATTTTTGCACATTTGCCCCCACCCCAATAAACTCCCCCCTTGCTTCTGAATTAGACTTTCTTCCGCAATAATGCTAGCAGGCCCAGGGGTGCTCGGGCAGCAAGTTGGCTTTCGACCCCCACTGGTTTTCTCTCCCCTTTCGGGAAGGGGGGGGGGGAGTTTTTTTTCCTGCCTTCTCTTGTCTTCTGCCTTTCCCACTGTGATATTTACTATGGTTTAACATTAACCGTAATAATGCAGCCCTTGTTAAATCTTCATTAAATGCTTCAGGCCAACTATGCTGGAAAGGATACTGTATGAAAACAAACTGAGTTGAAACGAATTCGCTCTTTGAAGCCTGTTTAATGTATCATGGCAAAGGGACAAACAACAGCTGTAGGAACAATCTGGACAAAACAAATCATGAGTCTTGAACGAAGCAAGCATTCAGCTGAACGCAGGCTCACACCATAACAGGAAATCATTGGCGATCTTTTTACAAATACAGTTCGTTTTCATTACTTTACTATACCAGTATCTGTTTCCATTAAACTGTACATTGTTTTAAAAAGTTCAAAGTTAAACAGAGAAGCAGGCAGATGAAGTTACAGCTCAATTGTTTCAATATACCGTGCCTAATTAATTCCATTCATTATTGATGCCACATTCAAACAAACAAAGGGCTATATTGTGTTTTGCAAATTAGCCGAGATACAGCATCATGAAGCACATTATTTGGGTACAGAAAAGGTAGATTTCTCAGAATGAGATGGCCAACACAGACAAGCCTGTATCGTTTATCAAATGATGGAAACCGTGCATAAAGGGCAGTATTAGGAGGTACTAGACTTCCCCGTATATTGAACAGGCTGGAAATCATTCTCACAGCTTGCTTCAGACTTAAATAAATCGAGAAATGCCGGCTCGGCTGCTTTACAAAACTGAATAATTTACTTTCTCTCTGATTAGAGGATCCGGCCAACTAGCCTAATGAGTGCAGGAAGCATCTGCCTGTACGTAATGGTGTGCAATGCACGCTGTTTCTATTTCCACGGCTCTTAACATCAAAACCATCCATTTGCAACACAAAGAAAACAGTTTTATATGTGGAATAATTGTTGTTTCAAGGTTTGTAAGTTTTGCATTTCTCGTAGACAACCAAAACACGCTCTCTCTCTCTGACACACACACACACACACACACACACACACGTGTGTGTGTGTGTGTGTTTGTGTATGTGAAAAAGTCAGTTCGATTCAGAATAAAGAGAAAGAAGGCAGCAGGAAAAGCCTGTCTCCAAACAGCTTTAAACCCCGGGTACGTGCGAGGAAATCAAACGGAGAAAGTGATACGGCTCAGGGCTTGAAAGTGAGAAGACGCGCGTGAAATTTCACCGCGCACCAGTGCTGCGAGGTGAGCGGAGCCCCAACTTCCCCTCCCCTCCCCTCTCCCTGCGCTGTTCCCGCTGGCTTCCTCTCCGAAGGGGCCCCCATTATAAGCACGGGAGTAATTTGTGTTTGCGCTGTCACATTAATGAAATAAAGATGTCGCCATGATTTTTGTGCACTTTGTTTCTCTGGCAGGGAATGAAAGGCTCCCTCCAGATGGCTGGCTGGCTGCCGGTTTGCGACACGGGCAGGTGAGGCAGGTGGTGAAACGCCCAGGGCAGCTCCGGGTGTCAGCAGCAGTTCAGTTCTCGGAAAGTAAGTTTGGCTGAATTGCCACGGCGATTAGCGTGGACCGGCGCATTGCTATAGGCACGGCTCCGTTAATGTAAAGTGACCTCTCCGGCTTGTCTCCATGCTGCTCCGATCTGCAGTCATCTTAATCTGACAGGGCGCTTCCTCTGGAGGGGGGAGGACATGTGCTGTCAGTTCGTGTGAGTGGAGATGGACTGGGAGATGAACATTTCAAAGTCGGGTACAAAACAGTAATTACTGGATTGTGTGTGTCTGTTTATATATAGTCCGACATCCCCAAAAACCACTAATGTGTCCACGATAGGGTTATGATTTGTATATCACATATCAGGGACAGTCGGAGTCGCCCCCCTTCACCGCGATTAAGCAAGAAATATGGTTCATTATGTAATATAATAATATAATAAGTGGAATTAACACATAAAAGTATAACTACGAATAATAATAATAATAATAATAATACACACAATGACAGTCGTTTTTAATGCAAATTAATTGAAGCATCTTTCCCACAGCATATCCAATTTGATAAAGGACTTTACGAATAAATCGAAGAAACTATGATGTTAAAGTTGATGCATTAACCTTTAAGCATTAATCTTTAAGTCACGAAGAGCTATAATGTCTTTGATCGTAATTGCTTATTTGAACATAGAGAATTTAATCTCTATAATGAATATATAGACTAATTTTTTATGGCATCGCAACATGACAAGTGTGTGATTAATCGAGATAAAGTTAATTCACTGTGCATTAACCCGTTTATACCATTGTTGCTACACAAATGCATTATTTTCACGTTTTAAAGCTGGAAACAAACCGCCAGTGATTATACATTTTGTTTAGATACGACATTAGCCAAGTTAATTTTAAAACTGCCCGTCACTAAGACAATAAGTGCTTATGTTGCTTTTCTTGTGTTTGATTCGTGTTTCTCTCGTTCATTTAAAGGGGGTGCAGACTCGGATTCAATGCAGGAATACAGAGACGTTTTAAGATATATCACATTGCAGCTTTCACAATATGACTTTACTGCAATCTCGATGAAATAGCCAACTACTTGCGATTAAAATTATTACTTAAAAAGCATCCCTGCTGCCTCAGTGCCTCGCTTTCTCGCTGTTTTCCATGTGTCTGAGTTTCTTTGCTGCGGGCTGTCTTGATTGTAGAGAAGGGGGCAATTTGAGCGCTGATTGCAGACACCTGTGTCGCTTCTTGCCCGCAAAGTGCCTTGGAAGTCAGGCTGACCTTTAGCAGCTCCTTCCCTCCCTCTCCCCGCGTCTCCGACTGGAGGGACTTCTCTCTGCCCCGGATTTCTTTTAAGCGCGCAGGCTTTTCGGTAGTAACTTTAGCATTGCAGCTGATTCGACTAGAGATGACTTTCATTTACTGTGTAGGCATATTGTTTCCATAATCAGTTATTTTGGTTAACCAATCCAGTGTAATGTTTGTTCCTTTAAGTCAGACAAGTTTTTTACTAGACTACAAAAACCATTTGGTCTCTCTTTTCTCACTTTGTGGGTTTGAGCTACTGGTGTGTGTTAGACATGTGAGAGTGAGTTAAGGAAGGCATTTGGGTTTTATTCCCTCTACGAAGTGTAACTGAGACTCTTGAGTGGGAATAAACAGTGGACGATTTTTTGACAGTGTTTTATTGGCTTGTGTCTCTGTCCTGAGCCCTGGGTGTTGACTTCACTATATCTTTATGAAAAAATGGGTAGGAAAAGTAAGAAAGCATGAGTGTCACGCCAGATGTGTGAGAGCTGGCGACCCCGTGGATCCAGTGCTTCAGGAATGTTGCCCCTGATAGCAGTGGGGGTCAGGATATGTATCTTGATTGTTTGATTGTTTTGTTTTGTATTCGAGGGGACTTGACAGCGGAGTGAGTGTGAGTACACTGCACATGTCTGCCATGCTTGCACCACCTTATTCTGGAATAGGGAGCCATTTTGCCAAGTTGGGAGCCGTTTTGCCAAGTTGGGAGCCGTTTTGCCAAGTTGGGAGCCGTTTTGCCTATGAAGTTGTGGGCCTCCATACTTCAGGAGTTGTCGATAGCCGGTCTACTGCCCGTTCTCCTGGACCTTCGGTTGGCCTCAGTGTCGCTTGTCTGGCTTTCTGCCCGCTGGTGATCTAGGACTTTCTAAATTTCCTTATTGTCAGCGGCCATAATTCGTCAGTCAGTAAGGATGGCGTTAAAGTGGATGTTTGTATTTTATCCACCGTTTCTCATCCTCATCGAATGGCAGATACAGAACGTCTGCGTCCAGCGGCATTTTTTAATGTGGTGGATTGCCATCCAAATCGCTTAATCCCTCAATGGTTACCTGCTTCCCCAAAATGCCTCCCGGCCATCTCTGAAGTGATTCAGGAGGATCTGTGGCAGTGTCTAAAGACCAGATAAGCCAGCTGGCGATGAGAACAGGACGGACTGTTCTGGAACTACGCAGGCCTGGAAATTACATTGTACAGAACATCTTTTTCAGGTGGGCGTGGAGCGGGATCTTCTTATACTCTCAATCATTGCGAATATCGATCTCAGCTTTTGGGCTGAAGTAGGACCAAGGACAAACCCAAGCAGAACACATTTTACTTCTAGTGTAGGTGAGAAGGCTGCCAACACAGCCCCTGCTTATCAAACCACACCTGCTTCCCCACCCATGGCTGCAACCTCAACATGAAGACACTTGCTTAAGCGTCTGATCTAATATTGTCCCTCTTGCCCACATACCTTTCTGGAAGATTTGACAAGTGCACGTCCATTTATTCTCAGTGAATCAGTGCTTTTCCCCTTTTTAATTAAAATTTAAAAACTAGTTACTCCTTCTCATAGTATACAATTACATAGTTTAAACAAGGATCTGTATAAAACCTTCAATATCATTTTACTTCTTAAAACGATCAAACTTGATTCGTTATTTTCTAGGCTGTATCCCAAGGGTCTTACTTTATTTTTTTCTTTTTTAAATAATCTATTACTGTATATCATACATTAAATAGCTAAAGATTTGTTACCTTTGAAGTGGGAACATGTTATAAAGTGTAACATCTTCTGTAAATGTGGACTAACAGCACATAAAAAGCAATGTTCTGCTCTGTGGAGCTTCTCCTGAAGGAGACCATTACATCAAGCTGACGTGCTGCTCTCACAGGAAGATGCTGTAAGTGCTGTTATAAACCAAAGTAATAGTCATGCTAACCGCTTCAACGTCTTGCATTATCATTAGGTTTCTGCTAGACGACTAGATTGTCTGGGAATGTTCATACATCTTCATGTTCATAAATACTTGGCATGACAGCATCGCGATGTTTGAGTTTGAGCGAAATAATGTTTCATGATAGTGTAAAAGGTATCTAATTATTTAAACATTAGATTAAAAGGTGTTTATTACAATAGATATAAATTTATATGTTTCTAAATATAAAAATACATTTTTATACATTTTTGTAATTTAACTGTAACATTGCACCAGCCTGAAATTTTATGTGCATAACACATAAACAAAGTTAAAATCGGGCGTTGTCAATTCACAAACTGTATTGCCTCAGTGAATTTCCAGACATTTAAGTTATGTCAGAAGACCCTTAAAATATTCATGCTACCCTTCAAACTCTGCCATGTGTTTCAAATATTATTTTCAGGCTCCGCAGTGAATATGTTTAAGTATCAATAATTTATATTATTAAAGGATTGGAAAACCATTTTAAAATAGTTTTTCTTTCAAAAAATCTGGTAATAGAAAATTATAAACATTTTTCATGTATATTCATGTACTCACTGGCCACTTTATTATGTAAACCTTGCTAATACCAGGTTGGCACCCTTTCGCCTTCAGAACTTCCATATTTCTTTGTGGGGTAGATTCCACATGGTACTTGAATCATTTCTCAGAGACTTTGGTCCATGTTCACATTATAGGATCATGCAGTTGCTGCATATTTGTCTGCTGCACCTTCATGATGCGAATCTCCTGACTCACCACATCCCATAGGTGCTCTGTTGGATTGATATCTGGTGACTGTGGGGGCCATTTGAGTACAGAGAACTCATTGTCATGTTCAAGAAACAAGTCTGAGGTGATATGAGCTTTGGGACTTGGGTTGTTAGCCTGTTGGAAGCAGCATGTGGCTCAGTGAGCAAAGCCTCTGTGCTTGTGATTGGAAGGTTGCTGGTTTGAGCCCAGCCTTGGTACATCTCTGGGTCCTTGAGCAAGGCTCTTAACCCCCAGGGAGCTGCTAAGCGTGGCTGCCCTTCACAGCCAGCTTGCTCTCACCAGTGATACAAGGCAGGATGGATCCCGGATTTTACGCATGTTGTTTACACCAAATTCTGGCCCTGCCATCTGAATGTTAAAGCAGAAATGGAGACTCATCTGACCAGGCAACATTTACTCAATCTCTCACTGTCCAGTTTTGCTGAGCCTGTGCCCACTGTAGCCTCAGCTTCCTGTTCGTAGCTGACAGGAGCAGCACCCGGTGTGATGGTCTGCTGCTGTAGCCCATCTGCTTCAAGGTTCGATGTGTTGTGCATTCAGAGATGCTCTCCTGCATAGCTTGGCTGTAATGTGAGCTTATTCGACTTGCTGTTGTCTTCATCAGCTTGAACCAGTCTGGTCATTCTTCACTGACCTCTGCCATCAACAAGGCATTTTCACCCAGAGAACCACCGCTCACTGCATTTTTTTCTTTTCTGTCGATCAATGGTTTCCGATATACTCATACCAGCCTGTCAGGCACCAAAAACCATACCATGTTCAGAATCACTTAAGTCACCTTCCTTCCCCATTCTGGTGTTTGATGTGGACATTATCTGAAGCTCCTGACCTGTATCTGCATGATTTTATACATTGTGCTGCTAAAATATGACTAGCTGATTAGATACTTGCTTCAGCGAGCTGTTGAACAGGTGTACTTAATAAAGTGGCCAATGAGTGTACAGTTTTAACCTTAGTCCACTGAGACTATTAGAATAATGTACATTTATGTAATGCATAAAAATAAAACCTACCCCTTAAAGTCTCCTGTAAACATGTTCCAGATTATGACTGTGTTTACAGATAGACTATAAAAATCATGGGAAAAAAGCATTAACATATCCCGATTTTTGCTGTGTGTATTCTGAGCCTCCTAAAAAATCATGGTGTTCTAATATATATTTATAAAAGCTAATTATGTAGGTTTTCAGACTAGAACAGGTTTCTCTTTATGAAGCTTAATGTTTTGGTACATGATGATTTTATTTTCCACTCAGAAAAAAAGCATTCTGGTACATTCCATTGGTTCCATACTGACTTCGTTACTGAGAATGCCTGCCCTGCTCTGCTCCCTTCGGGGGCATCGTTACTTTTTATTCCAAATAAATTAATAAGCGGTTTCATAAAACAGAGAGGAGTTCTTTTTGTTTGTTATTTCCGGCCTTATGAGGTTTATTTAATCATTTTCAAGTGTAATTACATGAGTGTTCAGGCAGAGCACGAGCAGCTGGCGTGAAGCAGCAGCTCCTCTCAGATCAAAAGAGGCGAAGACTTTGGAAAAAGATGTCAGGGAGTGACAGCAGCAGTGGGGTCCCCTTGGGGCGGGGGCACCGTGTGCCGATACCGCAAAACAACACGTCGCTAGCCTGCCAAATTACTATCTCAGCGCATAAAGCACACACACACACTCAAGCACACACACACACTCAAGCACACATACGCACCTGCACACACACACACCTGCACACACACACACCTGCACACACACACACTCAAGCACACATACACACCTGCACACACACACACACACACACACACACCTGCACACACACACACTCAAGCACACACACACACCTGCACACATACACACCTGCACACACACACACCTGCACACACACACACCTGCACACACACACA